GCTAGCGGCCGCGGGCAAAGAGTCCGCGGCCGCTGGGCTGGCATCGGGACCCCGAGGGGGCTCGTCCCGTCGACCTCTACCCGACCGGGGCAGCACGGCCCTCACCTGCCGCCCCTGCGCCTCCCGAGAGCAACTCCGCGATGATCTGACACTAGCGGAGTACCCACTCCCTGCCTCCGGTGCCACGGCGGGAGTTCGGACACAGCCTCTCCGGGATATTTCCCCTCGGTGGAAGAAGCAGCTGTCCGTTCTCCGCGGGTTCTCCCACACCGTACTTAATGGGCACCACTCCGAGAGCTCATTAATGTATATAAATGTGTGAAAGCGGGGTACCGGTAAGATGGAACCAGGCTCTTCCCGGCTGCACCAGACAATAGGACACGAAGCAAACAGGCAAGGTGTTGTGATGCACTGGAAATGCCACTAGAAGAAGAGAAAGAACTTCTTCACCCTGCGAGTGACACTGGAACAGATTGCCCAGAGAGGGTGCAGAGTCTCTCTCACTAGAGATACTGAAGAACTGTCTGGACACAACCCTGTGCCATGTCGACTAGGACAACCCTGCTAAGCAGGGAGGTTGGACCAGATACCCCACTGTGGTCCCTTCGAGCCTGACCCATTCCGTGATTCTCTGACAGCCCAGGCTGGCAAGGGTATCCCAAGAGCCAGGCACCAGCATGCTGATGTCCCAGCCCTCCAGGGTTTGGGAGAGCCAGGACCAGGTCTGCCATCTGCAGCGCCTTCGCTCCTAAAGTCAGTTTGTTGGGGAGCTCGACAACAGCACCACCCATCCACCTTTCCCTACTGCAAAGACTACAGAAATCCCTGGTAATGTAATTTTAGTTTAGTCTCTCATAGGCTTTTAGAGACAAAACACTTCCGACCTAGAAGACACTTGAATTCTGTTGAAGGCTAGCAAACAGGGGATATCCAAGAAGTCAGCTCAGAGACTCACAGGGGCTTCAGCTGAGAGCTTGGGCTGCAACACCTGATGAAGCCATGCAACCATATTCTGTAGCAGTTGCTATTGATTTGCTGTTCTTTCCATGGATCCCGTAGTCATGCTGTGGTAATGCCATATTTGCATTTTAAGAGTTTTTCCTTCGTGTTATCTGGAGGTGTAGCTTTCCTGAACTTCTGCCTGCCTTTACTGATATGCTTGCCCTCAAGAGAGCGGGTTAATGATCTCTCATCTAGCACTAAAAGCAAATTTGAATAGTGCATTTTTGAAAAACAGATTATGAGGCAAAAGGCATAAATCAAGAGTGCCAACTTCCCACATTCCTGTATAATTTAGTGGAACAAATAACTTCTGGTACAAGAGAAGTTAATTAACAGAAAACAAACAAACAAAAAAATCAATTCATCATTCAACCATGGCAAGTTTGTTCACAGGATTAGAATAATTTACAAGACATAACAATTATACTAGAACCTGTATAGATGCCTGGCATCCCAGGCTGGAATGGATGGAGGTGTGTTCTTTAGAAGCTGCAGAAACAATCATAGTGCATTTGAGCTAAATGAGATTTTCATTCAAGTTCCAAGATAATGCTGCAACCAACAAAAGTGTACTGCAGTCTCGCAGAAAGAATAAAAATTATGTAAGTACAGGGCAGTTATCCATAAAGAGTATCAGGAGAAGTTACAAAACTAGCTAAATAGATATTAACTGTATCATGAAGGAAAAACTCTTAAAATGCAAACATGGCATTACCACAGCATGACTATATTTAGGTGGATCAGTATACAAGACCCACAGGTTGCTGAACATTTTCCACCCCCAGCAATTTATTTTCTTGGCCTCTCCACTTACCCATTTCTTCTTTGCTGCTTCCTTCTCTCCTTGTTTCTCTGTAAAATGGTAGAAATATGGCTCAGGATATGGATAAATCAACTCAGAACCTCTGTCTTCAACAAAACAAAGTCATGGTGCTGGGTTTTGAGTTGCAATGCAAACTGTAACCAAAGGTATGTATTCTATTACCATCTGTTAAAACCAGGTGGGGCAGTGTTCTTATCTCTTCCACAACCCATCCTCCCTCCAGGAGGATATCTTCTGTTAATGGGCCATTCAGTCTCACTGCATGACTGATGAAATTACATCATCCCATTGTGAAATGCTCCAGCCAGAGGGAGGAACCAAGCATTTATACCTGTATATCATCAGATACTCAGAGCACCCCAGGAAGTTCTCCACTGAATTCCCAGAGGAGAGACTGGACCCGTCTAAACTACTGGACCTTGGAGGAGGACTGCATCCTTCTGCAAGATCATTATTTCAACAGAACCACATTTGTCACTCCAGGAGGACTGCAGCCACCATTTAATTTGACTTCTACCAACACCCTGACCAACAGGATGTCAGGTTGTATTCTGACTCTGTCAGTGGTGTTTTTTGGGGGTTTTTGATGGGTTGTTTTGGTTTTTTTAAATTTGTTTGTTCCACTGCATTTTTATTTTAATTTCCTTAATAAAGAACTGTTATTCCTATTACCATATCTTTGCCTGCGAGCACCTTGATTTCAAGATTATAATAATTTGGAAGGGTGGGGGTGTGGGAACTGAGAGTGGTCAAATAAGAGATTTTTAGCTTCAGGCATTAGCTTGAGCCTGTGTGAAACTAAGTCACACAACTTTCTCAACTCTGGCCTGGGAAATCATAAGGAAGAACCCAAACAATCCTTAGAGAAGGAAAACAACCTTTGCAGGTGTTGTTTGTCGCTTTTTTTACTTGTAAGAAACAGTCAAGGGGTGTTCCTAATTGTCCAATGATGGTGATATGTTGGTTCAATGACCAATGAGAGTTTTGCCTTCTCAGACTCTCTCGTAACTGTCTATAAAAGGAGATCTGGAAGAATAAAGCTTGCTCTCTTGTGCAACCAGGCCAGAGAGTCTGTGTCATTACTTTCACCGTTCCTAATATAGTGCGACAGGGGATGGGGTTACAATTATTTTGGGGTTTTTTTCCATTTCAAGGGAGGTTTCTGCCTTCCTTAAGCAGGCACCTGTCTTTTCAAACCATGACATGCTGTGCACCAAGGCCTGAAAATAGCTTGGACACTAACTTTTTAAACAGCCTGTGTCTTATCACACTCCAGAAAGACTTCTTTTTCAGAAGTCTTTGCAGGTATCAAACCAATACATTAACTCCCCTTTCAAAGCAACACCTCCCTTATTTCTTTGATAAATATTAAGGAATATTTGAACTGAAAATTCAAAGCACCAAAATTCACAAGATTGAAAAGATTAGGGATGTTATTAACTGATGCATCTTCTGAAGAAAGTGGCATAAGGAAGCCTCTTGTAAATTACTACTCTGAAAACACCAGAAGAGTCATCCTGTTCAAGCTCAGGAGCAACACTCAGAGCCGTATGCCCACAGGCAACAAGAAAATAGAGCTGACATCTTCAGGCTGGAGAAGTGCCCCCCCCCCCCCCAAAAAAAAAAAAAAAAGGCAAAAGAGCTGAAGGCTAAGCCCCAGGGAAGGAGAGCTTGTCTTGGGCAATTGTGGATAAACACACCTCTTACTCCCTGAACATATACAACATATACATATAACACATTGGTTAAGTGCAAAACACTACTGACAGCTTTTTCTAACTTCCAGATTGAAATGAAGCACAGCCTGTACTAGTTGTAATTTCACCTTCTCCATACAGATAAATGCAACATTTAGAAATTATCATTTCCATTTTACAGGAACAAAAATTGAGAAAGACAAAAGGACTTTTCAGTGTCACAACTCTTAAGCAGAATTAATATTGAACTAATTCTTTTTAAAGTACGTGCTATATACTTCAAGATCTATCTTATCTTTCCTTCGGAGGTAACATCAGTTTCCAAATCAAATTATCAAATTCATAATTCCTTGGAAATTTGGAAAGTCTCATTTAGTGTTTTCCAGTGTTCAGCAGCAGAAAATTAAGAATTTACATTTAACAGGTTGGTTTAAGAATATGGCAAAGTCAGAAAGTACATTGGACCTGATTAGCATAAGAGATTTGGTAATCAGGATGCCATGGCAAAAACAAACAGAGCTTCAAAAACTGCAAGAAGATTGGATCAGTCTGGTGACAGAGAAGAAGATTGAATCAAACAGAAGAGATGCTGCAAAAATGTATGTTTGTATGATGTTTAACCCAATCATTGTAGTAAAAACTTATTAGCCTTCCTGGAATGGTGTATAAGCATATGTAGCTCACAGTAAATTTGGATTCTGATCACCACTCAGTTGTCCCCATCTCTCTCCATCGCTGATGTAAGAGTTTCGTAATTTTAAAATTCATAGCCAACAGAAAACAAATTTTTCATCAAACATAAAAAGCCAGCTTTTGATTTCCAATTGTCTATCTCCTACAGAGAGTCCATGGGCTTTTTTTAATGCATCCTCCTTGAAAGCACAATTATTTGAGTGGTGAGGCAGTCATTCAACACTGAATGGGACATAGAATCAGTGGGAAAGTATGATTCTTTAAAGACAGCTATTTAATGTAGATGCAAAGGCTGCATTAAACACCTGGAAGTGCAAAAATGCATGACAGTAAAAGTTGTAGTTTGTGGCATTAACTCCTCAGCTCTACCACTAACATCCTGTATGATGATTTATTGGATCTCCAACTGTCTACAGTTATTCTCTCTCTGGGTCTGTCAACTGACCACTC